GCAATAATTGCATGCCAGGGTTTTGCATTAAATGTTAAAATTTATAGTGAATTGGACACTTTAAATATTGGCCGGAAGCACCATTTGTATACTGTGCCACTTCCTATGGCAAATAAAACGAAACTTATGTTGCACCCACCCACAGTGGTACACGGGCTCAGGGCAGCGTTCTTAATGGGTCTGGCAGCCATCAATGCACACATGTACACATGCACTCACCTAATGTAGGCACTCCTACGTAGGTAGGAGTATTTGCACCTTGGATTCAAATTTCGTGTTCGATTGCTTTAAGTGTTTGGTGGTTAAGTCCATAGTTGGTGCTATTGCCATTGTTGCCGTTGCCATTGCCATGGAGGCAGGCATTCATTACGTTTTCCATTGATACAATAAATCGTTGATTAATTCAAGAGACTAAATCGCATACACGAATCCGAATCCTGTAGACGTGTTAGTTTAGCTACAGCCAAATACCGGAACCAGAAATTCCAAACACTTTACTGCAAGTGGCGCTGACCGGAAATAAATTTATGAAGCTGTTGTGTGTTGCTGTTGGAATGTTTTATTGATAAACTTTGAAGGCTCAAATGTGTATGAAAGTGCTTCTCTGCTCGTGTGCCTGGCAAGGATATTACAGTACATATTGCGCTTGATTGAGCATTTGTATCTTTACTTGTGCGTACACTTCGGGGTCGTGTGTCTGTGGAAGTGTAACTGAACACCACTTTAAGTGCGAACAAGAACAAAATTGGAGTACAATATTTCGTTACTTTAATCACCAATGGAATTGACCTTTATTTCATATAAACTGCAATTTTCTCAATTTGCCATTTACGCCAATTAAGACAAATAACGCAATTTATGCGAAAAGTTACAAGCTCTACATTTGTATTAAATATAAATCGTTAAAAGTACAAATAAATAGATACAAACTTATTTTAAGATCGTAACTTTCTTCAATATTTGTACAGAGGATGAAAGTATTTATTGCGCTTCTCTTAGCAAGAATACAATTATGAAGTTTTGGGCAATTTTAGGGCAAAATGTATGTGTACATTCTGTACATTCATCTTTAGATCAAAAAGAATATAAAACGAATATAAATAAGTGTGTTCGGCAGCTCCGAAGTGTGGCAAAAAACAACAAGTCGCTTATTTGTACGTTAAACAACAACACTACTTTCTCTATCTAAACGGCTAGTTATGAAGTGGCCAAACATCTTAGCGACTTTATCAAAGCGATAAGCGATCTATAGTAAATCTTCATTGGAACTTTTGTAGAATATCCCAGTCATCTGTCAAAAGTTTGTAAATAAAAAATAACAAGTTTCAGGAATTAAAATTGTGTGCCAGTTAAAAATACAACTAATTAAAAATAATAACAATTTTGTTGTTGTAATTCACTACTGGTCGAAACCTCTCCACGAAAATTTTTGTAGATTTATAGAACTGTAGAATTAATATTATAACTAACATAAATTCATTTTTTTTTAGTATAGAAGGAGTACACAGGATTTTTATAAATGGGCACTAGAAAAGGTTTCTCACTAAATCAATTCAGTCCATTTAAAAGAGTTCCCTATTCGGTTTTGTTTTAAAAAGACGGCTATGATGTTCTCCTGGAAGTCAGTGTAAGTTTTTTTGGATAGTTTCTACATCTACGAAATCTTTTTATTTCA